GATGCAAACCTTTGTGCATGTTTTCAGCCATATCAAAATAATCAGAGAAATATGGAAGGGCACCATGATCGGAATATCGACAAAAATATCATTTCAAATCAGTGCTCTGAAATATGTGATTGTCAAGCTTTTGGTAACTGAGTACCTTCTTCAGGGCGAGTAGATTCAGTTCAGAATGAACATGGAAAAATCCATGTTTATTCCCCCTGGATGCAGCGTTCCAAGTTCGAAAATGATGCGCTGCTCCTGTTCCTTACGCTGTGCATCAGATGACGCTTTCCGCAGGATGCAGACGGCTACGTCACCGAGGGTATGTGGTGGCACACAAAAGTGCTGTGCAACAGTGAGACCATAGATTCCTACAGCTACCTGCAGTACTAACTGTCTCACCGCCTCTCCATCCCTTACTTTCAGTTTCTTCCACTGCGTAGGATTTGTAGTAGCGATGCTGAGTTCTCTGTGTGTGGGAAGGAAATGCTAGGTTTCTTTCATCACAGCGATTAACCTCCGGTTATCACGCTGCCTTCAATGCCGTATCTTCAATCCCACGCAAAACAGCTCTGAGGCCAAGCTCTGAGGCTCAGCAACGTGATTGCGTACACACGGAAATGATGCGGCCACAGCTTCCATTTACGCCGAACCCCCGATTTGCGTGTTTAGGCACGATCGTTCTGTCTGGGACTTGGTTGTACGTTGCCGGCTGGATTCCGTCTCGCTGTCAAAAGTAGGCAGCAATTCCCTTTGTCAGCGCCCCAGATGTAACATGTGCCCCCACATAGTTAACAGCCCGTCGGTTGTCGCCCCCGGGGTAGCTACAGAATATGCGGGGATTTTTCCATGTTCATTCGGAACTGAATCTGCTTGCCCTGAAGAAGGTACTCAGTTACCAAAAGCTTGGCAATCACATATTTCAGAGCACTGATTTGATATTATATTCTTGTCACTATCAAAATAATCCACGTTCTTCCTGTTCACACTGCCAGCATGGAGCGTGGTTTTAGCCACATGAACATAACAATGGACATTAAACGTACTAAGTTATCAACACATGCAATGTGTTCTCGTCTGATAGTGAAACTGAGCAATTTTAGCTTCACCAATTATAATCCAGTCTGAGTTATCCTGAAGTGGAGCCTGTGGAACTTACAGTGCAAGAAACGGCAGCATCCGAACACCAAGCCCAATGGTAAAGACAGACATGGCAAAAAATCCAAGCTTCTTGACAATACTTCAGACAAAGAGCCAACAGTGCCCAGTCATGAGGAAACAGTTTCTCAGCAACAACATGAACAGATCAAAGAAGCTGATGAAGACAAATCCAATTCATCATCATCCACTGAGTCTGAATCTGATCATGATAGTGACATTCTTGGTGAAGGCAAGTCTGGAGGAGGATTGGCAAAACTTGCTGCAGAACTGGAAAATGAGTCCCCTTGGGAATCACCTAACTCTGAGAGTGATGCCTGGAATCATTGCATAGGGAGGACCTAGCCTGCCAGGTCAGAATATATTACATTGCACTTTTGGAGTTTGAGTCTGCGAATGTCAACAATTGATATCCATCGATGAAATAAGCAACCTGGGAATGCCAATTAGTGTAACAGTATAGAACACATTCTTATCAACAAATAATACTCACTACATTAAAAAAATATGTCGGAATACACATTTTATACCAACAAATACCATTACACTTAGTGTTACTACTTGTGGATACATTTTTGTGCTTGTCAAATTTGTTTTGTGCATGTAAGTTTTTAAAGTCTACATGACCAGTGCATGTGATAATTTTTTTCTAAATCGACCCCTGCTCGTATGCTTGCCCATAGGTGGGTATAAAGGGGCTTGGAGCTGTTGTAGTATGTAGGTAACCAAGGGGCCACCTCTGTGGTGGACAAACAAGTCAAGTTCACCCAGTCAGTGACAAACCTCCTGTTTAGTGTTTAGCTGCCAGCCTTGTTGCCCTGAGTAACTTTACTGATGACGCTAGAATGTTGGTTTCTAAACAACTTGAAACCAGACCTCAATTTACTTCTGGAATGCAGTGATGGCCTCACAGTCCTTAAGACCCTTCAGGAGACCTGACTCTGAGTAGAAGACAAGCAGAAGTATGGGGATCCAGCTCTGCTCAGCAAAGTGCTCCCCATACTGGGCGAGGATGACAGAGTGTAGATCCTTGAACTCCCACACTTGAACCTTGGCAAAGCCAATGCCAATGCCTTGGGGAAGATGATTGCTAATCGCAATCCAGGTCATCTGGTTGGAAAGGTGATCACATTTCTCAATCTCTTAAAGCTGGTGGTGTAGCACAACTGCACATCAATGCTAATGCTGCATCGTGTGTTATAGACCATGGTGTTCCAGAGGCCACAGTGGCTGTGCTCCAAACAGTCCTTCTGGATGTTGCCCAGGAGGCTATAGATCTTGGCTTCTGGCCTGTTTGCTCTTTAGCCATAATGCTGGCTGCATGGTTTACTTACATAAGACTGTATACCTGGCACCCAAAGTTTCTGTGCACTTTTACCAAACACGACAATTTTTTTTAGATAAAAGAAACATGTATAGAAGTGATGATAATAACTCAAATATAACAAAGATTGCACTCATGATGGGACAGTGGCCAATAAATGGCACGGTCTTTTGATAGTGTATATTGTATATAATGTGTGTGTGTCCACAGGCAGCCACTTACAGACTAGCTACCAAGTATGTGTATGCGTGTATGGTATACAATACTGGCGACTCTGGTATGGAAAATCTTGCATGGTAGTCGCTACACAGGCGGGAGATTGAGTTAAAAACCACTAATCAGGAAATACATACACAAATAGACCCTAGCATGCGTTGCTCAACTTGCAGAAACCTTCAATGAATATCTTGCTAGTTTCAATCATTTACAAAATGATTGCCTGACATTTTGTTACAGACATGTGCATAATCAAGCCTTCAGTACTACTGCATTTGCATGGTGTCTGGTACAAACGGGAAGCAGTGTATTCTTTCCTACATGTTGCATGCGATTTTTAAGTGATGACTCAGGAAACTTAATTTCATTACATGATTCTACCTCCGCATAAATTTATGTCCAAAAATTGTTTGAAGTCTCATACCAAACGATGCACATTGAGCATGTAAAAATGCATGCAAAAATGCATGACACATGAACTTTGCCTTGCACTGATAGTCACAAAGCCCTATGTTGGTCAAAGTGAAAATTTACTTACCTTCTTTCAAGCTGCAAATTTACAGTGAGACGTGTGCTACTGCAGTTTATAGTGGAGGTTGTTAGTTGCGTTGAATAGAAAGATCCTGCATTTCTCTTCCCGCAAAAAAAATCCCCTTTCGGCCATTCGCATTCCCAGGTTGATTTGATGATGTCAACACCAGAACGCTGCCATGTACAGTGTACATATACATAGCTCACAGTACATGAAGTATCACACACCTCAACAGACCAC